GGCTGAGTTTTCCAGGAGTCAAGACTGACTTGGGGGGCCCAATGTAAGAAAAAATAAATAGAAATAAATAAAGAAGCAAAACCCTGACCGCCAGCATCCCCCTCCCATACAACAACAAGAGCCCCAAGAATCCATAATTAACCACCAGGCTGTCAGGCTAAACGCCCAGCGAAAAGCCATAAAAAACTGGAAAACAAAGGCCCCCCAAGAGCTGAACCTCATCATAAATCAGCTCAATTAAGCAGGAATTAAACGCTGCTTAACTAACGATCTTGGCAGGGGGGGGGGAAGAGAGAGGGCGAGGACCCCGAGCGGGGAGGAAAGTCTCCCTCCCCTCATCGCTGGGACCCTCTCTGCAACTGACTCACAATTATGACGGTCGCAGCATCCCGGGGTCACGTGACCCCCTTTTGTGACTTCCCAACAGGCGAAAGTCAATTAATTGGGGAGGGGGGGGGAGGCCGGATTCATTTAACAACCGTGTGTCTAATTCAGGGGTAGTCCACCTTGGCTCTTTTATGACTCGTGGACTTCAACTCCCAGAATTCCTGAGCCAGCTTAGCTGGCTCAGGAATTCTGGGAGTTGAAGTCCACGAGTCATAAAAGAGCCAAGGTGGACTACCCCTGGTCTAATTTCACAACTGCAGGGTTTCGCTTACCGAATGCGGAAAGGAGGGTCGATCAAACGGGGCAAAACTCACTTAACAAATGTCTCACTTTGCAACGTAAATTCCGGGCTCCATTGTATTCTCTGCTGGCTCTAACATCAGGAGCCAAGCATTTTAAAAACAGAAAACAAAAAACTGTGTGACTAAGGATGCAGGAGAGATTTATTTAAAGGGGAAACGCTGACAACGCAGCCGCATGCAGGAAACAACTGCCTGGGCCATAATTTAACACCTTCCTTGTTTAATAAATTAAAAAAAAAAACCAGCCGAAAGAACCTGGGGCTTCTTAGGGAACTGATGTACGGGAGGGCAGAAAAACAACGGCAGTGTGTGTGTGTGTGTGTGTGTGTGTGTGTGACACTCACTGTAGTCGCTGTTTTCGTCCTTGGTCCCGTCAATGGTCCCGTCCGGGTGCATCTGTAGGAAGAATTCCTGCTGGCTGAATAATCTGGTCACGATCCCTTTCAGCTGGGGTTCTGTGGGGCAGGAAGAGCAGAAGAGAAGTCTGGGGGCAGCCTCTGCCAGTCAGGGGTGCATGCACAACCCCCACGCACACACACAAAACGGTACGCCCCCCCCCCAGGGACTCACACTTGGCTGAAGCAATCCTGCCCAGGGCTTTCCCCACTGAATCCCAAGGGTCCAAGGTCAGCCTGGCCTGGGAGGGAAGCGCCCCGGTCATCCGGCTGGAGCCACCCCTGGCAGAGGCCGGGGGGGCTTCCATCTGTAGCAGGTGTGCATCTGTGGCAGCAGCCGCCCACCCAGTTGCCCCCATTTGAGCAAACGCTGCACCCAGCGTAGACCAAGGTTCAAATCTAGGAGGCATGGGGTGAGGGATGGAGAAGGGGTCAAATAACAGATGTGGAAAGGACCTAGAAAAGACTCTAGAAAGAGTGCAGAGAAGAGCAACAAAGATGATCAGGGGACTGGAGGCTAAAACATACAAGGAACGGTTGATGGAATTGGGGATGTCTAATTTAACGAAGAGAAGGACGAGGGGGGACATGATAGCAGCCTTCCAGTATCTCAGGGGCTGCCCCAAAGAAGAGGGAGTCAAGCTATCCTCCAAAGCGCCTGAAGGCAGGACGAGAAGCAACGGATGGAAACTAATCAAGGAGAGAAGCAACCTGGAACTAAGGAGAAACTTCCTGACAGTGGGAACAATTAACCAGTGGAACAACCTGCCTCCAGATGTTATGAATTCTCCAACACTGGAAGGTTGTAAGGAGAGACTGGACAGCCATTTGTCTGAAATGGTATAGGGTTTCCTGCCTGAGCAGGGGGTTGAACCAGATGACCTCCAAGGACCCTTCCAACGTATTATTATTATTATTATTATTATTATTATTATTATTATTATTATTATTATTATTATTATTATTATTATTATTATTATTATTGTTGTTATTATTGTTATTATTATTATTACTACTATTACCTTAGAGATCTTCTAGTGCAACCCCATGCCCATGCCAGGAGACCTTATACCATCCTGGTTAAATGGCTGTCCAGTTTCTTCTTAAGTAGCTATAGTATTGGAGCACCTACAACTTCTGTTCCATTGATTAATTGTTCTCATTATCAGGAAGTTTCTCCTTAGTTTCAGGCTGCTTCTCTGCTTGATGAGTTTCTATCTGTTATTTCTTGTCCTGCCTTCAGGTGCTTTGGAGAATAGGGTAAACCCCCCCCCTCTTCTTCAGGGCAGCCCCTCAAATATTGGAAGTGCTATCCTGTCCCCCCTGGTCCTTCTTTTCGTTAAACTAGACACACCCGATTCCTGCAACTTTTCTTCGTATGTTTTACATGTGATGTTATCATACAATGACGTCACGCAAATGATCCAGGGGATGGGATTTGTGCAAATCGCACCCTTGAGTTCATATGCACAAAGACAGCACAACACAGGGGACGTCGGTCTGGCTTGTTCATAAGGCATGCCAGCTACAGAAATAGACCAACCAGGGATTGTCTGACCCAGGGCTGAGTGTCTGAACCATAACTCCCTTCCAATGACTGGGTTTAGGCACACACACACACCCCTTTAGCCTGCTCGCTTCATGAACCCATTTCCTGGATGCTCACCGGAGGCTGAACCCTCAAGGTCTGAATTCACACTATACAATAAGTCACAAAACAATGACAGTCCTTCACTTATGACCAAAACTGGGATCAAAATTTCCTTTGCTAAGCAAGGCACTTGTTAAGTGAGCAGTAACATCACTAGGTAGTAACTAGCCCTGATGATGTTGCCTAGTTGGGTCATGAAATGTCTGCAAGAAAACAACCCATCTCAGACAGCATCAAGGACCCCGGAGTCCTCAGGGACTTCCGGTGGCAGGCGATTTCGCTGGTCGCAGCTGTTTGCTGCCTCCCGCCTGTTTTGCGTAAAAGCCGGTTTGACAGCCAGCATCAGCTGTCAAACGGCTTGATACCTTTCCCCTGGGCATAAGGGGATAGGTGAGCTGCCCGGGGTAGGAGTTGAGTTCCCGAGTCGTCCTATATGGACGATGTAGGCGA